GCGTTTTCGGATGGGGTACCCATACCCTTATGAAAGTTTCACTGAACAATGACGACGACGATCCCAGTTGCCTTAATTTGCCTGTTTCTTGCACTTTAAAGCTGTATTTGATTAAATACATCATAACACGATGTGAAGAATCTTAAAATATAATGTGATACTTCAACATATCACACCCATTTTGAAAGAGAACGTGTATCCAGGAATGAAATGTACTATCAAGATCGAAGGAGAGCTATTATCATCTTCCCCTATTAAAGTGGAGTTCGCCAACATAAGTACGTTCGCTCTGCTAATCAACGTAGTTCTCGAGAACATTCTCTGAAACAGTGCTGACGCCGACAAACACGAAATTTTCATTTCAGAGGGAAGGCGTAGTTCAAGATATTCGGATACATGTCTTACCGGTCTAGAATATACATATGATATTGTCATAGTGATTACCATAGGGAGCGGCCACAGTCACCTGGTGACTTCTGTCTGCAACATAGTCGTTAAAGTCGGACTACACAGTCAGAGTCGGAAATACGAAGTCATAAATAATCAATCAAATATGGCTGATCTACCACTGGAAACTATAAGCGAAGTTGCCCGGTTTAAGTGTCTCGGATCAATGATTTGAAGCGATGTCATCAACAGATCAGTATTTAAGAGGAGGATCACTACACCTTCCAGTGCATATAGGAAAAATCTTCAATATCTAGACCAAGAAATGAGTTACTCTTGAAAATTCGCCTGTATCGTGCTGCTGTCAGTCAAAACTGTTGTACAAAATGGAGAGTTGTTCTAACGAAGGAGCTAAAACAACGGTTGAACTGCGTGCAGCAACATCAGCTTCGATGCATAATGACAAGACTACCTAATCAATGACTTGTATTCTCCTCCTGGCAAGAGTGACCTCGGTAAATGAGGAAATTAAGAAGAGGAAGTTGTTTCTGTTAGACAACCGGTAGAGCACACATCGTTTACTCCGGCCCGTGTGTTTTTAATGCGGAAGCCGAAGCCTGACACATGTCAACCATGAGGCGTACATACAACCTCGAGCAACAACGTAGAGGCAGATATGATTTCAGAGAAATATTTCTTTTTGCCATGTAGTAACCGTTTCTGCAATATTGTGGAACTCCGAGTTCAACGGATATCACAAACCAGACACATTTTGCTTCTG